AGGAGGAGGTTTTACGTCTCTCTGAACTCCCTCCTAGAGGTGGTTGACTTCCTGTATGATCCACCGTAGATCCCTCCGCTGCATGCTCATCGTCATGGCAGCTCAGGGCCCTCTGATCGCTCACCCGACTTGCGACTTCATGGCGTTGAAAGGCTGGAAACCTGCGCCATCGACATCCTGCGGCACCACATGAGCAGCCTGGTACTTCCAGACTTGTCCCTGACCTCCGTCTTGAGGAGCGTCGATCCTTTGAGGTCTGGGGAGCCCTCGCCCGACTGACTGGAGTACCTGCAGGAGCAGAGGTGAGGAAAGAGGCTGGCAGTGCGGGGTAATGGACTTCATCCGCTTCAGGTCCAGGTTGGAGGGGGAGGATCCCTCTACTACTCCGTAGTTGATGTAGACCTGAGATCGCTGTGTCAAAGGGAAGAAAGACTCGCACGCTTGAAGATGCAGCTGGAGGAGGAGGCAGGAGAGGTCGGGAAGAAGATGGAGAAGTGGCAGCAAGAAGAAAACACAAAGGGAAAGCGTCGAGTGGATTGAGGACCTTGCTGCCAACAGACGCGCTAAATGGAGATGTAATCTGCGTGTGATGATGAGCTGTAGTACCAGACATGGAGTTGGACCTTGTCGGGGGAGGAGAGCGTGCTTGTATTATTTGCCATCTTGTCTTGCCTGCAAAACAATACCCAGCACATGTCAGAAAGTTCTACTTCCCATCACTAACAACTCGATGACATACTTTGAAAGGCTCCCTGCTCAAAGAGATAAAGGTCAGACCGAAATCACATAATCGTGTTCTGGGACCATCAGCTTGAAATGGAACAATGTTGAAATCGTTGGAATCCTACAGTTCAGAAGACAGATCAATGAACGCAAAAATCATAAACACTAAAATCATGTCAAACCTGCACAAAGGATTCGGAAAGTTCTCCATTCAAATGCCCAGGACTTGCTCCACCGGGACTCTGAACTTCACCCGACACGTCAAGCGAAGTTGGCGACGCATTGGTTCCCGGAGACGAAGCGTTAGGAGACATCTTCTGCTTAAAAGAGGTCACTGTGACGACGCGCCGAGTCTCACGCGACCCGACAGGAGGTCATCAAACGTACCGCCCTCAAAGTCTCGTGATCTACAGCCGAGAGCTCCAGGCTCAGGTGGTAAGCAGGAGCCAGCGGGTCTGTGTTGCGTCGGCTCTTGAACGAGGAGCCCTGTCGACCCCAGCACACGTCACCAACAGCATCTCCATGAGGAGCATCGTGACCCTCACCGTGATCCCCGGCATGGTCGGGCCTCTTGTGATGGTGAGGATATCATCCCCTAGCGGGTTCCTCGTTTGTCTCTGCGATCTTCTGGTCGCCTTGTTATCCAACAGCCCTGCGGCTCCTCCATCAGCTCTGCTCATCACCAGCTTCCTCCACCGATGTCGTCGTGCGACGTCGACCTTGTCGAGAGCAACTTGTCCCTTCGCTCAGCCGTCCAGCTGGGGAGTTCTCAGCATCTGGCAGGTGCATAGGGAAAGTGCCAGCTACCCGACGCCGAAGACAGGTCTGAGCTCTCCATCTCCGGCAGAGAAGACCAGGTCCTTGACATCGAGCGAGTTGTGCCCATTCGACTGCGGCAGACAACAGTACACATCAGGGATACACACACATCGCATCGCCTCGGCATGTCCCGACCTTGGGCACTAGAGGATCGGCAGGTTTGAAGCTCGGGTGTTTGTACTTGGGAGAGAGAGGATCTAGATGCCTCGAGGTGACTTCAAGGAATCTCAAGGAGTTTGTCAGCCTTATCGACCGCAATTATGCTCAAAGCTGTTGAGCCACCTGGACAACTGCTTTGGTTGTGCGCCGAAAATATCTGATGTGCATTAGGGATCGCCGAGGCAGTTGACACAAGAGCAAACCTTCTGTCTGCAGCGAGTACTTGACGTTCTTGTTCTTCAGCCTGTACGATTGCGACCTGCGAAACCTCCTCAATCATCCTGCGAGTAAAGTGTGAGACCACGGGGAACCTGTGAGGAAGGTAACTTCCGAGAACAGCATCTCCCAGCAGCCCTGTGTTGCTGGCCTTGTGGTACACGGAACAGAAGGCTTCGACCTCGTGCTGTGTCTTCTCGTCGTAGATCCCGACCACGGCCTTCTTGTCATTCCCGAACCTCTTGGTCACCAGGAGGTTCCGCGTGCTGCTGGCCTGCGCACCAGGGATGTCCTGCGAACAAGAAGAGTGAGGATTAGCAGAGCGGCCGGGCGACTTCGAACGTGCGAGCGGAGGCTCCTGGCTGAGTCGGCATCGTTGTGCACTCGGAACCTCCTGGTGGAGGTGAAGACCCGCTTGTTGTCGGCAAGCTGGGGGGATCGCGATATCGGCAGGTAGATGTCGTCCTTGGAAGGAGGATCTGCGACTGCAAAAGGAGGTCCAGACGTTATCAACAGTGTTGTTGGGTCCATTCTGCCCTCCCTGGAAGAGTTAGGCAAAGCTTGTTTTGAGCGAGATGAGCTAGTTCATGATGATCAACCTTGGGGAGAAAATGATCAGAGCAAATTCCCTAGAATCCAATCCATCTTCACTGTGCCTATTTCCCCTCCCCTCCTCCATCATCCCATAACCATTTCCCAACAACACCTCACTTCTCCCTTTCCTCTGTGGCACTTCCCAGACAGCATCCTTCTCCTCCTCAGTCACGGTCCTCAAGTGCTATCAGCACGAGTGCTCTGTGCTCGTTTCCCTCGACCCTCCCGTCCCCTACAGCCCTCAGCCTCCTCGTCTCTATCCATCGCTCTTGACTACATGCAGAATCCTATGGAGAGGGGAATTCTCAAAAGCATCCAATGTTTGAAATCATGTTCAGATGATGCACCCACAGGAAAAATACTTTGCTAGCAAAGTACCCCTAATTACTCGGCAAATTGTGGTAAAAAGTAGGGGACTATCCCGATTTCATCAATATTTGACTCATTTGATCACATTGATGCAATGATTGAAAAGGTCCAATAAAATTTCAGATACCCCCTGACAGTGAATCCACCAGTGAACTTGCTATTGCAATGGGGGTGGACCAGGAGCCGGTAGTGATGATCTACCCGTGAATAAGCGGGGAAACATTGGGGTACTCCAGGAAGCTCCAGGGTACTTGCGACGGCGGGGTGGTCAGTTGTCGGAGTCTTTCAACCGTCCGCCAGTTGTCAATCAACTTCTAACCGTTGAACGGTCGGTTCTTGTAGCCCGGAGACACTGAAACTGGGCCCGGTCCGGGCCCCGGCGCTGGCGGTGGCAGGGCGGTTAACTTTGAAGAGAATTCAAATGTCACGGTCTCGCTTTCAACTTTTGGAGTAAACGATTAAAATCACTTCTAAAGAGGTCAACGGATGCGGCAGCATGGCTGCTGGGATCGGTGCTGAGCCCGGGAGGAGGGCATGGCGGGCAAGGGAGGAGGCATACAGAGCCATGGCAAGAGTACAAGTTGATACGGCTCTGATGAAGGCGTCATCTTGTTGCATCTGACCTACTCCTGGCCTTCGCTTCCTCCACATCAAACAAGTGGAAGTAAAGCGGTGGCAACATGCAGCCTCTCAATCGCATGTACAGCAAGAGGATCCACGTGTCCAGTCACAGTCAGAAGCAATGGATGTATATCAAGCTTCCAGGAGTAGAACTGTCCTCCTTCTCCACCTTCATCAGAGGGCTCACGGTCGTTCAACTGTTACTGCTGCTCTACTTTCTTTTGTGGTCATACCTCCGAGGGAGATGCTTCCGTGACCTCGAGGGAGCTTCGAAGGGAGCAGTCATCCCCTTGTTCTACCTCAGCGTCGGGGTTTTCTGCTTTCACAGTGTCTGGTGGACGCTCCTGATCTTTTACAAGTCGCTCTTTGGGATGTGGCGGCAAAGCGTGAAAGAGGAGAATAGGACTGCGCTAGCTCTCTGCACCTCTGATTTGTGTGATGCACAGAAGACGAGGATCCGTGCGATGAACAGGTTTGTTGACGCTGCAATCCTTCTATGGCTGCTGTTGATTTGCGCGATGACCATCAAATTCTTTGTCATCGACAACAGCCAGTGCATTTTTGCGGGCGATCCCACGGCAGCAGGGTATGCCTATGGTGCAAACAGCTGTTTCAGCTGTGATTTGCAGCTTTACATCTCAGCATATGCTGTTTGGTTGGGAGTATCACTTGGCATCATCCTGAAGACTGTCGTACTGAGCTCCAGCAGCGACTTCACTTTGAAATCCAAGGAACTAGAGAATTTGACCATCAAGGAATGGAGGTTTCCTGTCATCGGAGCATGGGTTCAGCGAACAGAGTTTCGCCAGTCTATCGCTGTGGTGATTGCTGGGTTGGGCTTCATCCCATTCCTCGTGATCAGCTTGGGAGCGTACGGAGCAGTGAACCCCAAGAGGCGCTACCTCTTCGCTCCCTTCATGTACACAGTGACGCTTGTGACGGCATTGATCGATTTTGGGGTCCTCAACTTGATATTTTATCCTTTGAAAAAGATACTGAAGAGAAGGAAGAAGGACAAGCCTGCAAAGTTGCCGAAGAAGTGGAGCTTGTCCCGCAAGATCTTTATGCTGAGTTCGCGCCCGAAGCGGAAAGTTCTACAAGCCTTTTATCTCTTCATGAACATCCCTTGGTTCGGAGGGTGTGCTCTATCTCACTTGGGTGCGCTGGGACAAATTTATGTATTTGCCAGCATCTTGTTCTTCATCTGCTTTCTTCTGACATGTACGATCTTCATTGTGGATGACAAGTCATACAGCGTGAAGGATCTCCTGGATAGGCCAAAACGCAACAATTACGGCTTGATTATGCTGCGATCTGCATTTGTGAAAGAGCTGGAGCGGATCTTGGAGGAGAGTCGTGAATCAAACTTCACGCATGTTGTTCTCCAGGGCGAGGAGGACGCAGCAGGTGTCACGAAGGACGACTCGCAAGAGTCTGGCAAGGACGAGGGAAAGCAGAAAGAGTCGGATGCTGGTGACATCCAGTGTTCCATGGATGTCCCCATGTACCTAGCCAGCCAAGATCGAGTTGAACTGGCCGTGGTGCTGAGCTACCGCTGGTCCGACCGCAAACTCTATATGAAGAAGCAGAATGATCCTTCGAGTGTTCCCCGATGCTTCAGGATTCGCCACAGCAACAGCGACGGCTTCGACTGGGTGGTGACGATGATCGAACCGCAGTTGATCGCCCTGATCAAGGCTCTGTCAAAGCAGACAGAGGACTATGTCTGGATGGATCAGTTCTGTATCCCTCAAGTGAACAGCAGTGAAGCGAAAGACCTTGAATACGAGGAGAAGAAACGAGAAATGAGGAACATTCTTATTCCTCGAATGGTGGCGCTCTACTCTTCAGCTGGGGTTGTGCTGGCCTTTGACAACTCTGGGGACACGAGGCTGGAGAAGGAAGATTGGTACGAGAACAGGATGTGGTGCCTGCAGGAGTACACCTTCCCCCAAGAGTTCGAGATCATCCCCATCAGCAACGAGGGGAACAGGGATCACCACGAACTGCTGGAGAGGAGGAGCACAGTCAACCAGATGTGGTTTGACGAGGAGCGGATGACGCAGCTGAACCAGGTCGCCAGCCTCGAGGAAGGGATGGCGACGAGAGGGCAGCGTATGATCCTTGACTGGGTGGTGAAGAGGAAGGACAACATTGAGATCTTGATCAAGAATAGGGTGTACGACGTCGGAAGCAGGAAGTACCTGGAGCTCGTCTACGAGCACGGGGCGTCGAACCGCAACGACACGCTCCCTGCGCTGGCGCAGGCATGGTTCGGGATCATCATGACGAAGCCAGAGAGCAAGCAGATGCTGATACAATCTCTTGTCTCGCACTTGTTCGAGACTGGTGACAAAGAGCTTGACGTCATCAGAAATTTCAACGAGCGGACCAAGTTCCGCCTTGCGACCGGCACCATGATCGCCGACCGCATGCTGAGCGGGCAGCCTGCAGGGCTCGAGAGCGGCGAGGAGACCAAAGTGAGTGGGGGCCTACCGACCCTGCTCGCACCCCGTTGACTTCTCCTCAGGTGCAGATGCTCTGCCATGGCGTGGAGGAGGAAGAGATCGGCTCAGAGGATCTGTCCGAGACTCTCTACTCGTGCAAGGGCCAACTGATCCATCCCCCGAGATTCAAGCAGTGGGTGACCCACCTCTTCTTCACGAGAGCCGAAGCTGTAGAAGGGTCTCGCCCCCCTGCGTGTCGCCTGTACAAGATGACGGTCAGTCGGCTGCTCCCCGTCCGCCCTCCTCTGACTCTTGTCCAGGTCTTCAACGAGTCCACCGCGAAGCTCGAGTTTCCGCTCGGTGTAAAGCTCGTCATGCTGTAGGGGAAGAAGAGGGAAGTGAGATCATGCGCTGGTAGGGGAAGACAGCAAGGGGGAAATTTTTTTTTGGTGGGGGGTAGAGGCAGGTTAGCTGCTGGGGTGATTCCAGCTCGAGCCCGGCTGCTGCATCAGAGGAACGTGTGAGGTCGACGTGCGAGGCTGTGCGGCTTCAACAGTGTTGTACTTGATACCATGTGAATAAGTGAGATATATAAGTGAACTGATAATAGACTACAAAGGGCAAACCGTTCACATTGGCAATTGGGAGCCTGAGAGGTTCAACTTACCGGGCTCAGTTAGTTTATTCGAAGACTTAACTCAGACTGCCCGTCACCGGGTGGCACTGCGGCACTGCTTTCGGAAGTTCCCGGAACTGAGTCCGGGCGGCCGGGCCCGAGCCCCCAAACCGTTGACTCCGGGCTCAAGTGAACCGGTCCACTGCGGCCCCCGGTTTCCGAAGTTCAGCCCCTTGGTGTGACCGGGGCGGGCCGGGCCAAACAGAAGTTTGAAATCATGCCGCGTGCTTCAACTTGGGAGTCGGGAACAGGCTCGGCTCGTGCCGCCCGGGAGGCCCTCACCGAGAGTCGCGGCGACCGGGAGCTGCTCCGACTGCCGCGCGGCCGGACTCGACTCTTTCGAACTAGAGAACTTTGTGAGGAGCAGCCGCCCGGCCCGGGCTGGCGCCAGGGCCCGGCATCCCGGGTCCCGGAGTCCGACCGGCCCGGCCGGTCCGATCCGCTGTCCGACGGTCCGCCTCGGATGACAATCCGATTTAAAACATGATTAGGTAAAAGAATATTTGAGTGATAGTGATCGATATTTTGAACAGTTCTAAACAAAATTCACAAGCAGCTACTGTCAACCTTTGTATATATATGGACCGTTCGTATAATATGGTACTAATGTTTTACTTAGCTTTGACTAAAGAATACTGCGGAAGATCCAAAACTTTTTTGTTTCGTTATTCCATTCGCTCAAACGGTTCAACGGGCGCTCTGATGCTTCTCCGCAGCGTTTCCTCATGCTCCCCCCTGACCCCCGTGTGCCTGCTCCTGCTCCTGCTCCTGCTCCTGCTCCTGCTCCTGCTCCTGCTCCTGCTCCTGCTCCTGCTCCTGCTCCTGCTCCTGCTCCTGCTCCTGCTCCTGCTCCTGCTCCTGCTCCTGCTCCTGCTCCTGCTCCTGCTCCTGCTCCTGCTCCTGCTCCTGCTCCTGCTCCTGTACCTGCTCCTGCTCCTGCTCTTGCGCCTGCGCCTGCGCCTGCGCCTGCGCCTGCTTCTGCTCCTGCTCTTGCTCCTGCTCCTGCACCTGTACCTGCTCCTGCTCCTGCTCCTGCTCCTGCTCCTGCTCCTGCTCCTGCTCCTGCTCCTGCTCCTGCTCCTGCCTTCTCCTGCTCCTGCTCCTGCTCTTGCTCCGGCTCCGGCTTTTCCTGCTTTCCCTGCTCCTGCTCCTGCTCAACACTAGCTTCCCGCCTGAAGATTGATCGACTGAAATTTAGGGCTGCTGCTGATTTGCTCGCAGGGTCGTCAACGTGACAACAACAGAACGCCTGAGATGGCTTCAGAGGAAGACTTGTCCATCGACAGCGAAGATGACTTCGAGTACGAGGAGGTGGACATCGAGCCTGAGGCCGAGGAAGTGGAGGAGGAGGAGGACCTGGAGAGTGCTCTCATGCGAGTCAGGCTGCAGCAGACAGAGCAGAGGGAATCTAAGGAGCCGAAGCCGCTGGTGGGCAAGCGAGCAGAGCTGGTGGATGACTTCATCCGCAACTACCTGCTCAAGATGAAGATGACCAAGACCCTCGATTGCTTTCAGACCGAGTGGTACGAGAAGACAACGGCAGGCGAGTTGACGCCTGAGGACGTCAGCATAGTGGCAGACGTCTACCAGAGGAACCAGGAGCTTGACAACCAGGTCAAGGCGCTAAGAGCTGAGCTGGACAAGGCGAAGGAAATCGCGCACAAGGCGAGGAGTACATGGGACAAGTTCAGGAAGGAGAGGGACTTCCACCGCATGAACCACCGGCGAGTCGTGCAGGAGAAGTCGAAGCTCGTCAACGACCTGCGGCGGCTCAGGGCCCACTTGGCGACCTACGAGCCAACGCTCAAGGGGCTGGAGGAGAAGTATCAGGTGAGGAGTGGGAGGATGGGAGCCTGCGGGATCTTCTGTGTGACCGATGGGCTCACGTTTGCCGCCAGATTGCCATGAAGGAGAAAGCCATGGCTAAACTGCAGTCTGATAGGCTGCAGACTCGTGTAGATACCCTGGAGAGTCAAGTGAGGCAGACGCAAATGACCTCGGTCAAGGGAACTCTAGAGCAGGTCTTTCTTCATTCCTCCTGCCCCTGCCCCTGCCCCTGCCCCTGCCCCTGCTCCTGCTCCTGCTCCTGCTCCTGCTCCTGCTCCTGCTCCTGCTCCTGCTCCTGCTCCTGCTCCTGCTCCTGCTCCTGCTGTCGTTTCCTTCTGTCTGGCAGGCAACTCACTTGTCTGCAGTCTTCGTCGCTTCCTCCACAAGAGAAGTCGAAGAGCACAACTCAAGTCAGGGAGGCGACAGTGATCAACAAGAAGACGACCCAACCAGCCTTCTCCACAGACACCTCCCTCCTTGCGTTTCAAGACCGTGAGAACCCGTACCTTAACCTCTCCTTCGACCCCCAGAGAGCCGACAAGTACGAGCTGCGCAAGACGTACAAGGCGCACATTGCTCCGATCTCAGCTGTCGCCCTCCATCCGAAGAAGAACATCATAGCAACGGCCTCTGACGATCACACCTGGAAGATGTGGTCAGTGCCGGGCGGAGAGCTTGTGCTTACTGGAGAAGGGCACAAGTCCTGGGTCTCCGACATCGACTTCCATCCCAAGGCTGCACAGCTGGCAACCTCGTCGGGGGATGGAACGGTGAAGCTGTGGGACTTCTCCAAGAGCAAGTGCCTGTCCACCTTCACTGAACACTCGCAGGTAAACCTCTACCTTCCCCTTCCCCTTCCCCTTCCTCTTCCTCTTCCCCTCCTCCTTCTCTTGTCCTGTTCCCCTCCTCCTTCTAATCTGCTTCAATTCACAGGCTGTGTGGGGATGCGCCTACCACGACAGCGGGGACTTCCTAGCCTCCTGCAGCATGGACCACACGGCGAAGCTGTGGGACATCAGGAAGGGCAAGTGCAGGCTGACGCTGCGAGGGCATGTGGACAGCATCAACGCAATCATCTTCCAGCCTTTCTCCAACAACATCTGCACCTGCTCAGGGGACAAGACGGTCTCCCTGTGGGACGCGAGGACGGGGCTGTGCATCCAGACCTTCTACGGTCACCTCAACTCCTGCAACCACGTTGCGTTCAACCTCCGAGGCGACACGATCGCCTCCTCCGATGCCGATGGCGGTGTGCGCCTCTGGGACGTTCGTATGGTGCAAGAGAGGCTCCAGGTATCCCTTGGCGCCTGCTCCTCTGTCGTCCTCCTCCTCATCGCCCCTTGAACTCTGCTCCTCGCCATACTCCTTCATTGCTCTCCTCCTCCTCCTCCTCCTCCTCCTCAGCCCTGCACTCCTCCCTCACCTGAGCTGGTGCAGGTCAATGCCGGTCCGAGCGCAGCCAACAAGATCGCGATCGACAGGAGCGGGACGATCATGGCGGTCACTTCGGACGATCATTCCATCAAGGTTGAACCCGATGTCTCTTCTTCCTTCCCCTCTGCTTGTTCCTGCCTCCTACACCTCTTTGTGTTCTTTTCTCTCTCCATTCCTGCCCTCATAGCTTTGTGTTTCTCTGCTGTCCTTCTGTACAGAACATTGTCCGCCCTCATACCACCCATTCCTCATCTCATTCTCCTTCCCTTCCCCCTCCCTCCTCCTTCCTCCCTCCTCACCCATCCCCTCCTTCCTCCTTTCTTCTACACCCCCTCTCCCTCTACCTTTCCCACCTCCCCCCCCCTCCTCGCTCCTCCCCTTGTTTCATGTTGATGATGTCTCGCAGATCTACTCGACTGAGGACGGCTCGTTCCTGTCGACCCTCGATGGACATGAGGAGGCGGTCCAGGCGGTCTTGTTCGAGCCCAACGGACAGATGCTGATTACGGCGGGATCAGACAACACGCTCAGGATATGGAGCTGAGCAGAGGGGCCGGAGGAGGGAGGAGGGAGGAGATACAGCAAGGTGCTCTGCTGGCACTCCTTGAAAGGTTCTCGTTTTATTGCGATGAAGGTTTTTCGGGGTGAATGTCAGTATGTACAAGATATCGCTTTCAAGTTTGCTCGGACCCTCACAGCAGGGAGAAATTTTTCGCCTTGCACAAGGACACCAGCGCGACTGTGGAGAGGAGCAGCAGGGTCAGCCCCAGCCCAGAGGCGTTCCTCCCTCCTGCAGACGCGTCCTTCCCGCCTCTTGACTTCAAGATGGCCTTCTCGTCTTCGAACTCATCAGTCTGCTGTGCACGAGACACCGTCCATGGTCTCGTTGGTGCACCAGCTAAGAAGCTGTCTGTCTGCACCTGTTGATCTTTCGTTTTAACATCTCCTCCTCCTCCTCCGCTTCCTCCCTTCCTTTCCTCGCTGTCAGCATCATCGTCCTGCCAGCGAGACATCTCTTCTGAGGGATTCTCTTCCCCTCCATTCATCTCATCGTAGGCATGCGACTGGCTCGGCTGCTCCTGCTCCTTGTCCGCTCCTGACTGGCTGCCTGCCCTCAGCACTTTGGGAGATGAGGAAGGAGAAAAGCCTGTCCCTCCTGCCTTCTTGACGATGAGGTCTGAGAGGAGCAGGGACCGGTCCAGCCTGCTTCCCAGTCTCAGCCTGGTAGGTGAATCGTCGCTACCAAGCTCACCTTCCCGAGTCCCATTTCACCGCACACGTCGTGCCGTTGTCGTGAAGCCGGCTGATGCTGCCTACCCCTTGCCATCGCTTTGACGGGCACATGACAACACGAGTTCCGATCTGCCGCCACGTTAGAGCCGCCCCAGGCACCCAGCAACGGGGACCTCGAAGATTCGGCAATCCTCCATGTTTGAAGGCACGATAAGGTGTGTTTAGCTCCAACGAGGTATGGTTGGCTTCGACGCTGCTGCAGCAACGGTATCAGATGGCTCATGGAGTTGTACAAACTTCATCCATGCCCGTTCATCTGGTACAATTAACCTCCCTGCTGTTCCCGCCCTCCCGCGCAATCCTAGCGCAAATCCGAGAAGCATTTCACACCCCTCCCTCCCTCTCCTTCCTCGCCTATCCACGTCATATCTTTCTTCCACCCTCTTCCTCCCTCTTTCTCCCTCCTCTCGTATCCCTGGGCATCAACTCTCCCCCTCCTCCTCCCGTCCCTTCCTCTCCCCTCATGGTGGACATTCTCGTCTGTCCGTTCGCGATCCGCCTCAGATGTTAAAATCTGCACAACGGTCTGTAACGGTCTACATCAATTTTCACGTGCTGTTTATGAGTCGATGTGGAGAGAGTATTAGGAGAGGCGAGGAGAGGAGAGGAGAGGAGAGGAGAGGAGAGGAGAGGAGAGGAGAGGAGAACGAAGACAGGTGACATCAGGAAGGAAGCGCAAGAAGACATGAAGGAAACTAAAGGCAAAAAGGCCAGCAACAGCTTGAAAGCTCGGTCGGATGCTGCTGCGGAGAAAAATGACCTGAAGAAGGTGAACAAGACGGAGAAAGCAAGATATAAAGAAGAGGAAGAGGAAGAATTAAGTGAAGATGGAGGTGACGACGAAGACGAAGATGATCGTGATGGCGAGGGCAAAGATGACCTTTCTGATGGAGAGGACAATGGAGACAATGACGAGGAGGAGAACGGAGAGAATGACGACGACGACGACGAGGATGACAACGACGGCGAGCAGGAGGATGAAGAAGGAGGAGAAGAAGAGCAACACAGCGATGACGATCAAGAGAAAGACAAGGATGCGAGCTCGAAGGTGAAAGGGCCGTTAACACTGAAGAAGTTGAAAACATTCCAAGCGAAACAAGACAAGACGGGTGTGGTCTACCTCTCAAGGATACCGCCCTACATGAAACCAGATAAAGTGCGACACCTTCTATCAAAGCACGGGAAAATAGGACGAATTTATCTCACCCCCGAGGACCCAGCGATCAGAAAGAAACGAAAGGCCATGGGAGGAAACAAGAAACAATCGTTTGTGGATGGATGGGTCGAGTTTGAAGACAAGGCCGTGGCAAAGAGGGTAGCAAAAACCCTCAACACAACTCCAATAGGAGGAAAGCAGTTCTCTTTCTACTCGGCGGATCTCTGGAACATCAAGTGATTGTTTCCCTTTCCGTCCTGCAAGTGGCATGCTCAAACTTACTCACCTTGCAGGTATCTGTCAAAATTCAAATGGAACCATCTCACAGAGAAGATCGCATACGATAAACAGGTCCCTTGTTGTTTTTGCCCCTGGCCTCTTCAACCCTTTTCACGGCTGGTAACTCTGACCATCGCAGGTGCGGAGGCAGCGTCTGGAGGCAGAAATCGCCCAAGCAAAGAAGGAGAAGGAGTTTTATTTGGAGAAGGTGAGAGGGGCTGGATGGTGTTGCAAGTCTGATGTCTCTGTAGGTGGAACAAAGTAAACGGATGAAGAAGTCGAAAGCAAGAGGAGAAAACCAGCAAAGCAGCGAGCTAGGGGACAACACGGAGCCTAGAAAAGGCAAACACATCGAAATGACATTCAAGCAGAGAGAAGCAATCAAAGTGAGAAGCTCCCTTCCTTTCTGATGAGAAGGTTTCTCCCTGAACCCGTTCCTTTGCAGCTCAAGCGAAATGTCGCTGAAGATTCAAATCCTTCAGCCAAAAAGAAATCCAAGCAAAATCCTGTTCTGGCCAAAGTTTTTGCCTGAGCCTTGGCAAGAAAAAATACCATGCTCCGGTCATAATTGAATTTTCAATGAGACATGTACTACCGTATATGGGCCTGCCAGTGCAACCGGGAACTTGTGACGGAGCCCCGAGTCCCCGGCCGGGCGTCAACGGTCCGAGGCTCCCGGCCGGAGCCTCGGCCTCGGAGGCACAGCCCGGCCACTCCGTGACGGTGACCGGGCCGTCCGACCGGCGGGTCAGTCCGACTCGGACTGAGCGGCGGACAGCGGCCGCCCCGGGCCGCCGCGGCCGCCCGCGCCGGGCCCAGCGGGCTGTCCGATCGGCGGAGTCCGACTCAGGCTAGTCTAGCGGAGTCCAGATGTCACGGGCCCGGCCAACCAGCTAGTATGACTCGGAGGCCTAACTCCGGGTAAAGAGGTTAAAGCTGAATCTCGAACGGTTTTACTCCTGCAGATGATGACAGGAGATGCCGAGAGATTGTGTAGTAAGGTCTTACAATATTAATTGTATATTAAGACTTCTTGCTCTCCCCTCCCGTTTAGATATCCTCTGCCGCCCCACCGGTTCGCAACACATACTCTCACTCCCTCCCCCCTCCTCTCCCCTCCTCTCCCCTCCTCTCCCCTCCTCTCCCCTCCTCTCCCCTCCTCTCCCCTCCTCTCCCCTCCTCTCCCCTCCTCTCCCCTCCTCTCCCCTCTCCCTATGTCCCAGCCATACCAAGCTTCTCCCCGCGCTCCTCTTCAAACCGTGTGTGTCCATGCTCGCGTTCGCAAACCCAGCGCAGAGCAACCTGTTCGTGCTGTACATCTCAGCATCACTTCTCTCCAGCCTCTCTTCAGCGTGAAGCAGGAGGAGGCAGCAGCGATGCTGGTGAGCCATATCTGACATCTGTGATACACGTGGCTGCTCACTGACTGGGTCATCAGGGACTGTCTCTCACCAGCCTCAAGAGTGCCTGCAGACGGCTGGGACTCTCCCGCTGGCCGTACACGAGGCCAAGGCTAGGAGGAGGAAGCGAGGCCAGCGAGAGCGTGCTGGCAGAGGTAGAGGCATCGCACGATGAGGAGACAGCCGCCGCGAGAGCAGATGCTTTCGAAGTACCTTGGACCCCGCAGTGGGTGGCAGATGAAACAGGAGGCAACACGTCTCAACAAGGAACGATGGTCTTGGAAGCTAGAGCCTTGGACGAGGTTTTTGAAGGGAGCGAAGAAGCTAGAGCAGACGTCTCGTGGATCTCATGGTACATGAGCAGAGAAATGGACGAGGATCCAGAATCGTTCCTGGATGGAGCAACAACACCTTATTGGGGTAGATACTAACAACAGCTCATACAACATTTATTGAAATTTGAAATGAACCAAAGCATAACAGTCGTCGAATCAATTTCGATATACTTCATCAGAAACATTGGAATATATATCATTGAATAAACAAAAGATTATGTGCAGTCTTTCATGCGCCCCTTATTCCTTGAACAATAATTGGTTCTCAATTTCTGGTGAAATTGCCTTGAATATGTTTCACAGCGTGATAAACTGAAAGCACGTAAACTAGTCTTTATCGGAATTTCATTAACTCTATCTTTCACTGGCAAAAAATACAGAACTAGAAAGCGCCCAATTAAGGTGTTAGATGAAACAGGAGGCAACACGTCTCAACAAGGAACGATGGTCTTGGAAGCTAGAGCCTTGGACGAGGTTTTTGAAGGGAGCGAAGAAGCTAGAGCAGACGTCTCGTGGATCTCATGGTACATGAGCAGAGAAATGGACGAGGATCCAGAATCGTTCCTGGATGGAGCAATAACACCTTAATTGGGCGCTTTCTAGTTCTGTATTTTTTGCCAGTGAAAGATAGAGTTAATGAAATTCCGATAAAGACTAGTTTACGTGCTTTCAGTTTATCACGCTGTGAAACATATTCAAGGCAATTTCACCAGAAATTGAGAACCAATTATTGTTCAAGGAATAAGGGGCGCATGAAAGACTGCACATAATCTTTTGTTTATTCAATGATATATATTCCAATGTTTCTGATGAAGTATATCGAAATTGATTCGACGACTGTTATGCTTTGGTTCATTTCAAATTTCAATAAATGTTGTATGAGCTGTTGTTAGAATCTACCCCAATAAGGTGTTGTTGCTCCATCCAGGAACGATTCTGGATCCTCGTCCATTTCTCTGCTCATGTACCATGAGATCCACGAGACGTCTGCTCTAGCTTCTTCGCTCCCTTCAAAAACCTCGTCCAAGGCTCTAGCTTCCAAGACCATCGTTCCTTGTTGAGACGTGTTGCCTCCTGTTTCATCTGCCACCCACTGCGGGGTCCAAGGTACTTCGAAAGCATCTGCTCTCGCGGCGGCTGTCTCCTCATCGTGCGATGCCTCTACCTCTGCCAGCACGCTCTCGCTGGCCTCGCTTCCTCCTCCTAGCCTTGGCCTCGTGTACGGCCAGCGGGAGAGTCCCAGCCGTCTGCAGGCACTCTTGAGGCTGGTGAGAGACAGTCCCTGATGACCCAGTCAGTGAGCAGCCACGTGTATCACAGATGTCAGATATGGCTCACCAGCATCGCTGCTGCCTCCTCCTGCTTCACGCTGAAGAGAGGCTGGAGAGAAGTGATGCTGAGATGTACAGCACGAACAGGTTGCTCTGCGCTGGGTTTGCGAACGCGAGCATGGACACACACGGTTTGAAGAGGAGCGCGGGCAGAGGCTTGGTATGGCTGGGACATAGGGGGACTCAGGGGAGAGGAGGGGAGAGGGGAGGGGAGGGAGTGAGAGTGTGTGTTGCGAACTGGTGGGGCGGCAGAGAGATCTCGTGGAGGCAAAACCAGTGGCCTCAAAACACGCTCTTTCACGTGAGCACGTCGGGATGGTGGCTCACGAGATCAGCTTCCGGTAGATATAACCTTTTGATAATGATTGTGAATCGGTCTTAAGCTCAGCGGCTAGCTGCAGCCACGGTGCAACACCGTGACCAAGTTGACAGGCGTGGGCGCCGGGCCCGGGCCGGGCGCGGACTCTCACCGGCGGGAGCCGCGTCCGATCACTGTCACCCGGCGACCCCGGGGCCCGGGCCGACGGTACTACGGTACGGGTAGTACGGTCCGAGACTGCGGCGGCCTTTAAAAATTGAACCACTCCCAGAACCGTTCGGAACGGGGCCCGGGTGGACGGTCCAGTTGTGATCAGATCAGTTGTCACAGTGATCAGCCGATGGATACGACTCGATGATGATCCGAGTGATCCGATACCGTACCGTACGGTACGGTACTGACCCCGGGCCCGGCGCCGGGCCGGGCCAGCTGAGCCGTGCCACTCACGAGGCTGCCGGCACTGCCGGGCGTCATGATCATCGGATAGCGCCTTAACTTGGCAAAACTCCCGGAGTCCAGGAGGCTCCTGTCAGTCACGCCGGTACTTGAAACCGTCAAGATGACTCACGAGTCACGCCAGTACGTGTTTCAAGGCGGCAATCATCAGTGTAGCCGTTTTCGCCTACTAGGCTAGCCGCGGCGTCTGACAGTGCCGCGCGTAAGCACGGTCGTCTCATGCCAAGTTCCGAGACCGTATTGCCATGGCCCGCCCGGCATCACTGAGTCAAGCTTCCGAGGCTCAGAGTGGGTTTCACATCGCGGTGACGCGGCTCAGTCCTCACTCAGAATTCTGGTTTCGTGTGCATGATTCAATTAGTAAACTCGGTCTTGAGCAAAAACTGTATTCAACGGTTGCAACTGAGGTCGATATGCCATGATGTCTGCGTGACCGACCGGACCGGTTGAAACTGACGGTTGCCACTGCCGCACTGCGGCACGGCACAGTACGGTACGGTACCGTGTACAGTACGCCCGGCCCCCGGGTTGAAGTCTAACAAACTTGTGCTCCGCCGAGTCAAGTTGTCATTGAGTCACAGGCTAGTCCAGAGGTACGGTCAACCGTTCAGTAACGGTGCAGGGTGACGGTGTGCCGCCGCCGCCGCCCGGCCGCCGGCCGCCGCCGGGCCGGGGCCCGGCCCCCGGGCCTCCCGGCCGGACCGGGCCCCACTAACTTGGCACTGAAGGGGCTCGCGAACAGGCCGCTTGCTAGCCTCACATGCCGCCATGATGGCTCGACGGCGGCCCGGCAAGTTCCGACGGGCCCATGCCTAAGTTAAAAGTTTACTGAACATCATAATTTACTGAGGGGCCGGCGGCGGCACTCAGCGGCGGCAATCGGAGTCCCGGGGCCTGTTCCGAGACACTCAGCGGCAGCTGACATGGTGGCACAGGCCACCGGGGCCCGGACCCACTGGCAGGCCGGGTCCGGGCTCAGCCGCGCCCGGGCCCCGTGACAGAGTCAGAGTCAGTGTGACAGCGGAGAGCCTCCGGGCCGCCGGGTCCGTGTCACCAGGACCAGGGGCAGCCGAGCTGACGTCCGAGTCGGGCCATCGTTACCTGAGTACAGTGGCGGCGGGAGGCGACCTGACTCTGGAAACCATGATGGCGGCCCTGCAGGCCAGGCCCCATTGTGCACTAGGATTCATAACAGACCACAGCGGCAGCTGACAGAGCGGAAGTTTTTATCGCCCTCCCAGCACACCCGCCATCGCTCCCTGCCCCCAAGCTGCGTCATATTCTTTGGCGTCCTTGTTGTGCTTCTTGAACATGCTGGCATACACTTGATTCTCCTTCGCCTGAGAGACTCTTTCAGACGAACATTTGACACTAATTCTCCTCACTTTGTTTGCATGAGCTTCCGTCCCCAAGTTAGCTGACTTGGCGATCGTGTTGGTCAAGCTGGCGTGAATCTCACCGACCTGAAGATAGGCGATAAGACTATGCAGAGCTCTTCTGCAGGGAGTCAAGATGTCAAACACCTTCATTCCCGCACCACAAAGCTTTTCTATTTTCGCCTTTTTCTCGGAGACTTCTGTTACATACATTGTTCAGCAAGAAACAAAGAGAAAAGACGTAATGTCATACCAGTAGCATTCATCGATCTCTTCTTTCCATTCTCAGCTTCAACGTTTTCAGCAGATTTTGCTGCTTCCTTGGCTAGCTTTTCTTCTAGCCTTGAATCTTCCAACGCCTGAAGGAGAATGAGAAACTGCCAGACAGATCGTAATGCATTCAACCTTGCGTTTTTGAGCAAGAACATCTGCTGGAGGCGTGAGATGAACGACATCCTTTGCTTTGGAGAAGGGAGCATTGCAAATGACGCAAGCCTCTCCACCAAGCTGCCACAAAAGTTGTGAGACCAGTTCAGAATGAAGCGACTGTTACGTGTCGCAGAGCTTGTTCACAGAAAACGTGACCACAAGTCTTGAGGGCAACAAACTGATTTTTGCCATTGCCAGGTCGTCCAGTGATAGGGCAAAGAAAGCGATCTTGTCCTCCGGCTGAAGTTCGAGACTTAGAATGGGGAACAGAAGCAGATCAAGTAGATACTCTCATAGCTGTTCTCGACGCCCTTCTTGGGGTCCCATTCTGGATTCTCCTTGATCTCGATATTGTACAAGTCTTTGAGCTTGCGGATGTGCTGGGGTCATCATCGTGAGAAGGAGACGCAAGTTTGTCCTGTTCAAAACTACCTGATGATCCTTGTGGAGAGTCTTAGTCAACAGCTGTTTCATCACCTCCTCTTTGATGAAGATGTAGCCGAGATCACATGTGACCATCGGGGGACGGAGTGGCTGCACGAAGACATCAGGGGAATGATTTGGGGCATTTTCAACGCGCACTTGTCCGGAGGCTGCACAATAGTGCCACCTTGCCCTCATCTCCTCTGAGTGATCTCGGAGAGTTTCCTAGAGCTCAACTTCAGCGAGTACAAGAACTCCTCTAGCTTGCCTTCTTCTTCTTATGCGCCTGACGGAGAAACTTTCTTTGCTGAGCGGTGGTTCCACCATCACAGCCTCCACCTCGCAACTTCTGGTGGAAGAAAACAGTGCTTCCCTCCGCCATGCCATAGTATTGCAGCGGTTTGCATTCATCTTGAATCTCAATGCCACCAAAGACAACTCGAAGATCGCCGCTCTCATGAATCTGCCCTACACCTTGCCTTGTCGCCTTGTAATGCTCCACCAGGGCTTCGACTGTGTCGTTCCCCCTGTGGAGACGTCAGGAGCAAGGCAAAATTACGAACCTCTGAAGAATTTTTGAGCTTACCCCAGCTCTACACTCAGTGTCTCTTCGTCCAAAGTTCGCAGGAAGATCTGATAACCGTTGTGAACAAGAAATTTTACGGGCGGCACAAAGCTCCTCAAACCTGCATGACTGCTTTGCTCAGACTCTTTGACGTCCTAGAATTTCTCAGATAGCCTGAAGCAACTGCAGATGAGATCCTGTATACTAAAAATGTGCATTGAGATGAAATTCTTTGTGCAAATTATGAAGTTGCAGTTTTTACCCAAACCCAGCAACGAAGTTTGACAAAGCCAGCATGATTGAGGGAGTGTGGACTGCCACATTACGCATCGACTGAAACACACGAGCATGGACATGATTAAGAAACTTGAAGTTGGCCAGCAACTCAAACTTGGTATGAGAGCGCGGAGAAGCTGGCGCCCAATCAACCCAGCCAAACATCGACTCCCCTGCGAATCAACACAACGAAGAGGGGGGAGGACCAAAGATGCATCTACACCCCATATCTCACACATTCTCCGCTGTTCTACAACACAAACCTCATCTTTCATCTCGACTTCTTTGTCCGTTGCTGCCTCCCCCCTTTCACACCTCCCTTCCCCCCCTTCCCCCCCTTCCCCCCCCCTCTCTCTCTAAAATGCAGCTGCTAGCGCGCTAAACGAAGTTGAGAAAACATTTTAGTTATCTTGGGTCCGCAGGTACAGTCTCTTGATTTTTTGTATGACTGGGCCCCGGGGCCCGGCGCGGCGGGGCGGCGGCGCCCCACTGGGCCCGGCGGCGGTCGACAGGCCGCGGCCGCCGGGGCGGCACTGACCGTTGACCGTACCGTGCGGGCCCGGCCAGGTGCCACGGTGGCAGCACCGTCCGGCGTCACGGACCGACTCTGGCAGTGCCGACGGTTCGGACCGCGGGCCGGCTGGCGAGAGTGACCAAGTTCATCGCCGTCGGGTATGCCGGGCCGGGGCCGCTTGTTTGAACTTTCGTGACGACCGGTCGCTCTCATCATCATCCGATCAGTGTTTGCGCGGCCGGGTTGCGAGACTCGGATTGTCCTCGTACTGATTTTTAACTTAACTTTGAGGAAAGTTTGAGAGAAATGATGGGTACGCGGGTGCAATGCCGCCGGGGACTCTCACTGATTGTGACTCCTGCGCGCAGTCAAGCCTCCTCGACTCTCCTGATTGTCCTCGTACTGATCTTTAACTTAACTTTGAGTAAAGAAAGGCTGGGACGTCAATGCTCTCGGCCATGGGGGACAGCAGTCGGCAGGATTGGGTTTGGTTCTCGCTGTCTTTTCTCTTCTCGCCGTTTGGCCTGTGCGACAGTGTCAGGGTCAAGCCTCCTCGACTCTCCTGATTGTCCTCGTACTGATTTTTAACTTAACTTTGAGTAAAGAAGCTCTCGGCTATCATCTTGAGTAAAGTCAGTGATTGCTGCGACCGGGTACCGTCCCTGAGTACCACCCACCCCACCCTACTGTCCTTGAAGCCTCTGGCACTGACCGGACCGCTGTCGGGGGGCCATCCGAAAGTACCCCTGTTTGGGACCTTCAAGTACCCCTCTTTCTCTGGTTGCTGATCATTGACCACCCCACTGAGTGCGAACCCCGGAAAGCCCAACAGTACCCACCCCCTGGAATACTCTTGTTGATTTGACAAGTGCTGCTCCACCCCTGGTCCAGAGCTCTTTCAAGGCCTTCTACCGTACCCACTGTGGTTACCCTACCTGGCCGGAATGTGTTCCGCTACCCCGGAATTGCGGGTGATTTTCAACTCAGATGATACGGGGTGGGTGGTGATACCCCGTCTTTCAACTGATGCTCCCCGGGTGGTGATACTGAGTACCCATGATTTCTCTGTTCAAAGTAGGGGTATACGGAGCAAATTTTGTTCGGAGACCGACCGAGGAGCAAATCGTATCAATGAAGGGGTAGTGGTGGTGTGAAAAGAAGGTCGGTAGGGTCATGTAGCCCGCCTGACAATGAACTGATGGGGTGAAGAGAGGGATCACCAGGTCCATCCAGGCACATTGGCTTAATTTCATATCATCATAATTATAGAAAATCCGACCTTGAGCATGGCTAAATTACGTTGGCCTGAAAACAGGGTGATATGGTGGTGGAGGTAGGTAATACGGTAGGGTGATTGGTCGAGGGGGTGGCACGGGTGGGACGTCGGGTGTATGAGAAGATCAAGCGATCGAAATGCAGGGAGGAAGGAGAGCGGGTGGGGAGAATGTCAGAGGGAGGGAGGGAGGGAGGGAGGGAGACTGAGCACCCAGAACAAGGATGTTGAAGCAGGAACACCAAAATGCCCAAGATGCAAGATAATGCATGTAGGGAGTTTCCTTTAGATGCAAGACAGGAGAGTCTAAAGGTGGATATTTGTTGATGACAAATCCAAAAATTGGACGGAAGACTTTACATGAGAATGGTAGTTGATTGCAAGAACATTTCTCATGGTTCAGGAGAGCCTGTGTTCTCACGCAACTTGATGTTTTGGCTGTCTAATGAACGTAACCTGATAGGAACATACCTAGCAGCAAATCAACGATCTCACATGAGAACAAGCACACTTCGATGAAAGCCATGACCAACTCAAAAGAACGAAAACAGAAAATTGATTCGCCAACGACATCGGCTATTTGCAAGTGGCAGCATATCGGAAAGTCCGAGCTTCTTTCATGGTTAGTCAGGAGCCTCAACCTGGTTCTTCCACTGACTCTGTTGATTTGCTACGTAATCTAGGATTTCCAAGTATATCGGGGAGAAAGTTCGGAACTTTCATCAACTGCATGACGCATTTCACTTTTGCCAAGCTCTCAATCTGGCTTACAAAAGAAAGTTTCCCATGTCAAAGATCATGCGCAATGCTCCACACTCATATGAGAGACAGAAGAACTTTCTAGTCATTCAGAACTTCTTCCATCAGAAAGGTAATCTTGCAACCAACTCATTGCAGCTTCGACTCACTGGTTTACATAGACGTGATCTTCAACATGGACATTCACAGTCTAGCCTCTGCTCATCCTGGTCATATCTTGAACTTTTTCCGTTTTCTGAAGCATCATTGCGAGAGTGTCGATGCTGCTGACAACGCACTGGAGGAGATGGATGGGTCTGTCAACAGCGCGTCTGTAGCGTCTACATTTTCGAAACCTTCGCCGCCATCAATTTTGAGGTCTGACTTTGACCCGCAATACATCCAAGAGATGAATGCAAGAGACGAGCATTCTTCGTTCTATCGCTTTCCGTCATCTTTTGCAACCAACCCTCCGTCAACGGAGGCCTATATGTTCAGTTCGGAGGAATATCAGAGGCATGATCGCGAGGAGCATAAGAACGTCTACGGCAGTGAAGCTTTTGACAACATCTTGAAAAATCTCAACCCGCAAAGTGCCGGGCCAAGAAGCTTGCCAACTGCAAACTTGATTCAGAGTGAGAGGACGTTGGGTCAAAAAGTTGTTCATTCGGTCCCTTGGTCGCCGATGAATGCTATTGGTGCAACGCTGCAAAACTCCAGCTCAAGGTTTTACTTCTTCGAGAACTTGGGGCAGAATGTGCAAGACGCGAGGGGCGACGGAGGAGTATCATCCAAGCAGGAACTCACGACTGATTGTGATGCCGATACCGGCCAAGACTTCAACAAAGTCATGTTTCAGCAAATCCAGCAGAGGCGGATGTTTGTCAAAGACAGCGGACCTGATTCATCAAACTCTTTCAATGGTTTCACAGGCTCTGACGCTCAGGGAATTTACCTCAGTCATGATCAGCATGCCATGCTGCTTGACAGAGTGCACAACCCGATGTCTCCCAGCTTGCTCTCCCGATCTCGCCAATCTCCCGCGCTAGCTTCCATCGACATGGGGATCAGAGGAGGGAAGCGTGCCTCTGTTACATCTCCCTCAGCTCTCAGCGACGAACTTTGCTTCCGAGGACTATCTGAGGATGCTCAGACGCCCTACGTGGGTCTCACTGGTCAGAGCCTGGAAACCTTGATGTTCGCAAGCGAGGACGCCAATCTCAAGAATGAGGAAGAGATGTCCGAAGCTAAGGTGATTCGCTCTGATCTCTTGCAAGGTTGTTTCCTCATTGCATTGACAGCAACTGCACGCAAAGCTCGACCTGCTCCGCGTGCACCTCCAAGAAAGTCTTTCGAGTACGTCCTCAGACCAAAGCAAGTCCGGATCAGATGGCGATCACGCGCTCTTGGTCTCTGAGCTGCCAGAACCTGTTGAGGAGAGGACCAGGATTGCTCATGGGGGTTCGGACTTGGCAAGAGCTCAAGTTCACAGAGGTTTCAGTGCTTGCAACCTTGTCGTGTCGTTCTGAACCGTGTGCGAGCAGGCGGAAGACGAGGAAGTGCACAACATGGGCAGGATGTCTATGCGGATTCAGCTTTTGCTGTCATCTCGAACGGTACCAGGACGTGACGGCACCTGCAACTCCCTAACGATGGCGGCAGAGTATGCAGACAGCATGCGGGAGTCTTCATCGGATGACCAGGAGAGCGTGAAGGCGTTAGGTGAGGGTCGAGACCTTGACGGTTGAAATTCCTGTCACTCGAGTAATCACGGTTCGACTGCAGGGCGGCAGCATGACACTCAAGTATCGCATGCTACATGGAGTGCCAACGGAGAAACGAAGTGTACCTCCTACTCGTCCAGCTGCCACAACCACGAAGGGCAGGACGAGAAGGATCTGTACAAGGTCGAGCCCTCCCCCCGGAGTCTTCTCATCCGAGATCAGATGCGAACGATCAGTCAGGAGCCTTCACAGGTCGCGTGTCACTCCTGGAGATCTCTCTCTCTGACCTCCTCCCAGTTGCAAGATCACATATCCAGGCTCCGGTCCGAGCTCAACGTCCTCAAGGGAAGGAGGCTGAGCTCGACCAGGTGATCTCTGCCTCTTTCACCTCCCCCGCACATCCTGCTCACCCTCCTGCTCTGCAGCCCCGTCGTCAAGAGCATGTCATCGACACGGGACTCGCGCTTGAGCACCATCAACTCAGAGGACTGCGAGGCTGAGACGGCCGACGAGGTTTGAGGCCGGAGGCCCTCGACCTGCCCATGACCTGGCTGGCAGATGCGCGTGAGGAGCGGGATGAGCTCTGCACTCTCGGACTCCGCCAGCTTCCCCGAGCGGCGTTGGGGACGCGATGGTCTACCGTCCAACTGCGATCAAGATGCTCTATGGGGACGAAGCAGCTCGGGCTCTGGCTCGCCTGACAAGTTCTCTGACTCCGACTCCTCCGTGGATCGGCAGCTAAGGCGGTCAAAGGCCGCCCCCTCGTCTGACTTGGCCGTCGCCTGCCACTCTTGTCATGTCCCCAGGAGCGGTGAACCGAAGGTGAGCCGCACCGACTCGACTTGTCCTCTCCTCACTCCCCCTCGTCAGGAGCAGCCCAGGTCCCTCCCGTGCTCGTCGCCTTCCACCACGGTGATGATTGTTCATGTGGTTTCCTGACATCTCACCCTCATTGCAGGACCTCTTGTTCCAGAGTTGGAAGAGACGACACGAAGCCAATGCACAAAGATGATACGGGGAAATAATGAGGTCGAGGAAGAAATGAGGAACCGACTTTGTTTTGTACCCAGCAATGTATTCTACTGTTAACACTAGCGTGCGCTGAATGATGTGAATTGAATATTTCTATTTTACATGATTGAGTTTCAACTATGTACAATCTCACAACATGGACATTCGATTCTCAGTTTCCCGCCCGGACATAACCAAAGTCTGCAATCATAAGTGAATCCCGACAACCCGCCCAAGACACAGAAAGGCGATTTCGACCTGGTTGGATGTGATGGCCGTTACTGTCGTTCCTGCTACATCCAAGTCAATGACACTGACAGCAACAAGAGCAAGTGAGTGAGGAGCAGTAAGTTGAGAATGAGGTGCTGTCTGACACACCAACGTTTGCTCCCTGTGTTGCCTCTCTGAACGAGTAGCGAGAGGATCCAAGATCGCGCTGGGGAGCCTGCGGGACTTTCTGTTGCAGGGGAATGAGGAGGCGAGCAAACAAGGAATGGGGAGAGACACCTGTATGGCTCGCAAGGCATCCACCATCCACAAGATCAGACGCTCTTCTTCTCCTATCCTCGGCATTCGCTTGATCAAAGCATGAATCTCTCTGATGGCACTGCAGCAGCGTCACACGTCTGCCTTGTGCCGCCCGGGTCACCAGACCTCTCCTCCTCCATGATCATCACGATGCGTCTCAGTTGGTCCTTCAACCAGCCGTACGCGCTTCCGATCAGTTCTCTCATGGCCTGAGCTTCACTCAGTGCAGCCTTTTTAGCCCATGTGCTCCTACCTCATTCAACGCATCTGCTTGCGCCGCATGTTGCTCGATGTCTTGAATCGACATCTCAAACTCTCGCACGGATGCGTCTTGGACGGGCTCGTAGCTCACAGTTACAGTACTTGTGAAGTCCTGGATGTACTTTCTCTTGCGCCTTTCAAGGTCCTCCTGAAGAATCTCCAGCCCCTGGATGCGCCAAGTCACCACTAGCGACGTCAGAGGCTCTAGCGGCACCTTCCGTCGATCTTTCATCTGGTGAAAGAACTGAATCGCATCTTGTATATCTGACGCTCCAGCTGCATCGAGGATTCGATTGATACCCTCCTCAATCCTGGGATCCAACCACTGCCAATCAAGTCAGCAGGAAACGCACACCTTTGAATTAGGATGGAAAGCACCGGCACTTCCGCATCGGGACGTCGCTTTTGTTCGAGGAGTTTGTCATACTCTTCTTTGTAAGACGTTCTTCTCTCGATCGCTCTCCTTCGTGCAAGCTCTTTCTGTTTGCGGGGTCACAATGCGAGATGGTTTTCAATAGCAGCCATTCAGGTCACCATCGCTTCGTTGTCAGCTTGCAATTGTTCCTGCAGAAGTTTGTTCTTCTTCATCTTCTCCGCCAGAGCCTTGGTCTCCGCCAGCAGCCTCTCAGCTTTCTCCTACATAACATCTTGTCACTCTCCGCACAGAGTCACAGCGGACAGTCGAAGAACCTGCCGCCTTGCGATCTCCAGCATCCATTTGCTGTTCTCCTCTTCTATTGTCGCCTTCATCGCATGCAGACCCTCTACCGTCTGATCCCTCGTCCTCAGCAGGTTCTGCAGCTCTTGGCTGGACTCCTCTATCTGTATGTTCAACAAACGGACGTCCTCTCGCACCTGTCCCAGCCTCTGGTTCTTTTCCTTGTGCGCTGAACGCATTCGTTTCAGTACCTCTTCCAGCACCTGCAGCGCGCTGCATGTTAGCTCAAGGGGAGACAGCGGCTCTTGGTCCTGACCTGTCGCTGCCGGGCAAGGTCTTGACACCTGCCCTCGTACAAAGCCACTCTCGCCTCCACCCTCCTGCGAAACTCCTCGAACTCCCTCTCGCTCTCGCTGATCTTAGCTTCATCCCGCTCAACACGGCTCCTCGCGCTCAGAAGCCTCGTCAGCTCTGCCTCCCTGTCCTGCACGGCTTGCTGCAGACGGTTCAGATGGGCCTTGAGCTGGATCAGGTTCGACTCCGCTCGTTCGACCTCATTCTTCGACTCCCTCCTCCTCCCCACACTCGAGTCCATCTCCGAGTACCCCGTCGCACTGCGGGATCGCACCGGCGAGATGCTCTCTTGCCTGGTTTCGTCATGACTGCCAAGAGCAGGTAGCGAGGTGTTCTTAGTCGGTTTGATGTACACTGAGTCTACCATGGTCGACTGTCCCCCTTGCACGTCAATCATAGTCTTCTGCCAGATCGCCGTCGTTGACTTGATCGTGAAAGTATCAGGAAGGCGTTCAAAGTTCGACGCCACAACTCTGGAGGCGTTTGCGTTGCCCCGCTTGTAGGAAGGCACTCTTTGGCTTGCCCGGGTCTCACTGTGGACACCAGGGAGCGGGCGATCAGCTGGTATGGTTGGCTGCTTGCCAACTCTCCAAACCTCCTGCGGCGTCTTGATCAAGGTTGATACGTCTGAGCGAGCATGCGTCTTTGACATGATGCCACCTTCCACAACCGCAGGCCCTAGAGCTCCTTCGTATGGGTTGCTGTCGATGGAAGGAGAGGGACGAGGAAAGCGATCTCGTTGCATGGCAGGGGGTGGCCGGTGCCATGGCGGTAGGTCCAGTCCTCCCTCCTCCCTCACCGCTGCAGCTGCCGGCATGGCGGTTGATGTGCCCGGGCGTCAGAAGGTCCTTGAGGCCGGTGGAGGGGGTGGGGTAGTAGAAATCTCTCGGGTACTGAAACATGACGGGGTGGGTCACCGGTTGCCCAGTCGGACCGTCAAGGACTGGCAGTGTACTAGTTGCCTCTCACCGAACTGAGGGGAGTGGAGGGGTACTTCAACCGTTCGGATGAAGTTTGGGGTACCGTTGAATAATTTAGGGGTGGGGTTGGGTTGGGGGGGGGGGGGGGCCTCCTT